GAGGGGAAAGGCGGGCAGGTGAGGGGGGCGGTGTGCACTCTGAAACGGCCTCCCGCCGCCGGCGACGCAGCGAGCCCCCCCCACTCCCTACGCCAGAGCACGCCACGGGGAGAGCCGGCGGGCAGACGGGGGAGCGCGCCGCGAGCTCGGGACTCCCGCGCCGGATGTGAGGTCACGTGATTGCCTCATCCCAGCGCCGAGGGCGGAGGGCCGCGACGGGGACGTCGGGAGGGGGCGGGTCTAGCGGGGCGGGGAGAACCTTGGGACACGCCCACCTCCCTCATTAGCCCCCGCCCTCCCCAGCCAGCTCAGGCTAAAGGCTTCGTGGAGGAAAAGCACTCCAGAACCGCTTTGCGCCGAGACCGCTCTTCCTGGCGAGTGGAGGTGGAATCTGTCATCCTTGAGGTGCAAAGACAAGAAAGATCTTACTTAGGCCAAACCCATTTTGTGTTCCGAGAAACTGAGGCCCTGTGACTAGTTCAAACTGGCTGAAGTGGTGGGAAGGAAGCAGGTCCCAGCTTCCAAACCAAGCCTTTTATTTCACCCCCAGCACCCCACAAGAACACACAAAATACTATCATTCGAATGTGACGCCAGGTTCCGCTTGCAGGCTTGGGACAATGGACTGAGGGGAGTATGCAAGAGAACACTGCGCCTCCCCACCCCCACCCCGCCCTCGGTGGAAAGGAGTTTCCTCCCACAGCGCTGGATGCAAATTAAATACTTCCCCGGGGGCAAGGTTTATCTCGTGGCAGAACCCCAGCCGGATACTTAAATCGTGGGTTTGGTTTTCGCTGAGTTCCTTAGCATGCCAGTGCGAATCTGGGATTTCCCTCAGCTACCTGATGTCTTTCAGCACAGGATCACCTCTACCCTTGGCGCCCGACCACACACTATTATTGTTATTTCGCCATGCTATTTATTGTTGTTGTTGCTGCCAATCCTGAGGCTTGACCTTAGGGCCTGGGCACTGTCCCTGAGCTTCTTTTGCTCCAGGCTAGCACTCTACCCCTTGAGCCACAGGGCCACTTCCAGCTTTTTCTGTGTATGTGGTACTGAGGAATCAAACCCAGGGCTTTATGCATGCTAGGCAAGCACTCTACCACTAAGCCACATTCCCAGCCCTCGCCATGCTATTAACACAATTCATTACTTCTTGAACACCTTAGAGGAAAGGACTAAGCACCTGTCTCCCACTCTTTGGACCACCTTGCCTGGGGGAAGGAGTATTCCACCTGGCCATTTCTCTGAGGCTGCCAGCTCTGGTCCACTGCAAAGGGTGGTACCTGACCTAGGACAGAATATTGTCCCAGGCCCGAGGCAATAATGATGCCTCAGTGGAACAAGAAATACTGCTAAGCGGTAGATGCCTTGAGCTGAAGAGCATAGGGACAGTGCCCAAGCCCAGAGTTCCAGCCCTGCAACTGACAAAAAAAGAAAGAAAGAAACACTGCTGATGATCCCCCTAGGGTGTATGGGCCTGAACCATTTAGTGGCCCTTTCTTGGCATTGTGGGGATAGTAAACTGAAGAGATATGCTTCAAAGCCATTCTGAACTAGAGATCACAGTTTTGTGCAAACCACACACAGTTGAAATAAGCAAATGAGATAGACAATATGGGTGAGTTAGGTAAACAGTCTGAAAGCAGTCTGTTTAGGAACAAATCATGAAAACCTGCTTCCCACCTTGCTCCACACTCCCTTAGCTCCTGGTCGCTTCCCCTCAGCCTCAGTCTCTCTAGATCCTGAAAATAAAACTGTCAAACCAATCTTCCATTCAGTGAGCTCTTCAATTAGCTAGCTGCCAAGCACCTCTTGCTCTCTCAGGCAGACCTCTTGAATGGTGGTCTCTCCTACCTGCCTCCATTCCATTTCTTAACAATCTGACTTCTGACCTCACACACCCCATTCACATCCTTTTCACCTTGCTTCCAGCAATAGTTTGGCCTCCATTTGACCAAATCTAGCAAGCATTCCTCAGGTTTCATTTCTGCCACATTTGATGTGGTGGATGGTATCAACTTCTGGAATCCCTTGCTACTGCCTTTGTCTCCAGAGGATTGCACTATCTCAGTAGTCACATCTCAGTATCCAAGGCCTCTCTCTGCCTCCTTCAATGGCATCCTGAGGGGCCACCAGTTTTGAATCTGCACCTTAAGTGCAGGTCTATACTTTTAAGCCCACAGCTCTATTCATTCCACTCACTCTTGAGGGATCACCTCCTCTTGATTTCCGCTTCCAAATCAGAACTCTCCAGCCCAGACCTCTTTCACACAGCTCAATCTAGGGTTCATAGGGACACTCTCCAGATTTGTCATATCCAAATTGAACTCATCCACTGCCTTCATAGTTAGTCCCTCTCCCCCAACTATTGATTGGATCCCTGATCAATCAACAAGTCCAATCTACTTTACCTACTTAGTAAGTCTCAAATTTCTGCCTCCATCTTAATGCCACCCTGTTATAAAATTTTTGAGCCATTGGTTGGCAAAAGGATTTACCAAAATAAGAATAAGAAAAAGCAAAGGTGGGGCTTGGAAGGTGGCTCAGTGGTAGAGCGCTTGCCTTGCATGCTTGAGGCTCTGGGTTTGATTCCTCAGCACCACATAAGCAAAAAACAAAAAAGCCAGAAGTGGCGCTGTGACTCAAGTGGTAGAGCACTAGCCTTGAGCTGAATTGCTGAGGGACAGCGCCCAGGCCCAGAGTTCAGGCCCCACGACTGGACCCAAAAAAAAAAGCAAAGGTGAATTAGTATACCGGAACAAGGGAGACACTGCAGGCAGTTCCCTCACAGTTAAAAGAGCTGAGCACTACTGTTACTGCTTCTGCCCTGCAGCACCATTATGGTGTTGGGGACATGCTTTTGTGGGATTAGTAGGGGTTTTATTGATTGGCTAATCTTAGTGGATTTTGTTGACTGGCTGTCTCTTTATCACAACTATGTTTGAATGTTGCTTGTTGGGAACATCTTTTCTCTCTCTCTCTCTTTCTTTCTTCCTTCTTTCCTTCCTTCCTTTCTTTCTTTTGTTCTTTCTTCCTTTCTTTCTTGGGTTGAACTCTGGGCCTAGGAGCCGTCCCTGAGCTGTTCAGCTCAAAGTCAGCATTCTACCATTTGAGCCACAATGCCACTTCCAGCATTCTGGTGGTGAATTGGACCTAAGAGTCTCACAGACTTTCCTGCCCGGGCTGTCTTTGAACCCTGATCCTCAGATCTCTGCCTCCTGAGTAGCTAGGATTATGGGTGTGAGGCACCAGTTCCTGGCTTGTGGGAACATCTTGAGGGTTTGTTTTCAAGTCTACATTCCATCGGGCCCATTTCCAGGGCTTGACTCACATCTGTACTCCATTTGGCCCTGTTCCAGTGTTGGGCTCACTTCTGCATTCCACCAGATCCTTGGTATATCCCTATTCCCACATGTGTCCTTAAATAGGGCCTCTGATACTCACCTATCATTTCTAGACTGCACTAGAACTAGCCTTCCAACAATCTCCTGACAACTCATCCTCCATCCTTGCTTCCAAAGTGTGCTGCTAAAATGCACAACTACTTAAAATCCTAGGGGTTGTCCTAGGCATCTGGAATAATCTATCAGCCCAAACCTGCCAATGCAGGCTTTTAAAAGATCATAAAGAGCTGGTACCAGTGGTAGAAGGTTGAGATCTGAGTATTGTGGTTCAAAACCAGCCTAGGCAGAAAAGTCTATGAGACTCATCTCCAAATTAACCACCAAAATCCAGAAGTGGAGCTGTGGTTCAATGGTTCAAGTGGTAGAGTGCTAGCTTTGAGAAAAAAAGAAAAAAAGCTTTGGGGATATCAACCAGATCCTAAATTAAAAAAAAAAAAAAGTGGTGGCTTAGTGGTAGAGTACTTACCTAGCATTTAAGAAGCCCTGGGTTCAATTCCTCAGCACCAAGTAACAGAAAAAGCCAGAAGAGGCGCTGTGGCTCAAGTG